ATTATGCTTTGCTGGTTAAAGTGCATAGTGTGGTGGCCTGTTTTTAAAGAATGAAACACATGGATATTGTTTTCTGACCTACTCACCTGACATCGGTTGATGTATGATCAAAGTTCATACGTTCTTCACATCATTCTTTGTCTTGAAAACAGTTCCAAGGAACGCATAGCCATGTTAAGCCCTTATTTTGCTCCGGGCGGTTTTTTTTATTATATACAATGCGCGGGGCAATAAAATTAGAAAACAGACACTCAGTCGAGATGTAAAGGAGAACAACTGACTTGCAGAAGAGAAGAGAAGAGAAGAGAAGAGAAGAGAGTTTATTCAGTAATTGGCCTAAAGTACAATAATCTATTGTAATTGAAGTTGTTTTTTAGCAGGTTACCTGACAGTACGACTTTTATAGTTGACGCAAAGCAAACACGTTTCCAGTGAATTGCAATATTCATTACATCAATATATTTGGTATTTAGAAGACTATCCACATTTACATTGGTAGGAAGATGTTTCAGGCGTATGGATTTATATTGAACAATGATACAACTGACTAGCTGAAATTATTGAGAGGTTCTATACATGTGGCTGAGAGACCTTGTGTCAAGAAGATCGCTATGGATCCATATTCAGTCTCAAACTGTATTGCTTAACCGGTGTTGTGGGAGGCTAGGCGTTCTGTTGTGAGGACTGATGTACCAAGTGTTTAGAGATTAAAGCACTCGCTGCTTATTGTGAACATGACATCCATCGCAGGACGAGTTTGTTAATCAGCTCAGAACAAATGCGGAAGTCATACCACAAAGATTTATAGTCTGTCAAAAATGAAACTTAAATTATCATTTGAGGGTGTTTTCCAATGTTAAAACATATGGTGTTATATAAAGCTAGATAACTGATACACGAATGCTGAATAACTGTGACACATATGCTGAATAACTAATACACGAATGCTGAATAACTGATACACGAAAGCTGAATAACTAATACACGAATGCTGACTTACTGATACACGAAAGCTGCATAACTGAACACGAATGCTGAATAACTGATACACGAAAGCTGAATAACTGACACACGAATGCTGAATAACTGATACACGAAAGCTGCATAACTGATACCCGAATGCTGAATAACTGAACATGAATGCTGAATAACTGATACCCGAATGCTGAATAACTGAACACGAATGCTGAATAACTGATACACGAATTCTGAATAACTGATACCCGAATGCTGAATAACTGAACACGAAAGCTGAATAACTAATACACGAATGCTGACTAACTGATACATGAATGCTGAATAACTGATACACGAAAGCTGCATAACTGATACACGAATGCTGAATAACTGAACACGAATGCTGAATAACTGATACCCGAATGCTGAATAACTGATATACGAATGCTGAATAACTGCTATACGAATGCTAGATAACTGATACACGAATGCTAGATAACTGATACACGAATGCTGAATAACTGATACACAAATGCTGAATAACTGATACACGAATGCTAGATAACTGATACCCGAATGCTGTATAACTGATACACGAATGCTGAATAATTGTGACACATGTACGGAATGACTGATACACGAATGCTGAATACATGTGCTGAATAACTGAGAGACTAGTATGCAATTTAGTAAATCACGTGAATTAAATACCCGAGAGACCTATGCTGAATAACTGAGCAATTAGTAATAATTTTCTCTACTACCATGCTGAATAACTGAAACACGTTTGCCAATGTACTGGGACACGTATGCTGAATACCTGGGGCACCTATGGTGAATTATTGAGACACATATGTTTGAAAAATGTTTCTGATATTCTCTTCCCTGATGCTAAAGGTCTGGTTCTCAAAGCACCCACTGACCTCCTCCGTGGTGTAGTGGTTAGAGCGTCCGCCCGGAGAGCGGAAGGTCGCGGGTTCGATCCCCGACCGCGTCATACCAAAAGACGTTAAAATATGGTACTTGTTGGTCCCTGCCTGGCGCTCGGCATTAATGGGTACAACAAGGACTGGTCGGCTCGGAGTCAGTATAATGTGTCTGAGTGGGGTATTCATGCTTCACTGCGGCATGGTATCTCAGTGGGCTAGCACTATAAAACCAGCTTAAGTCTGGGCTAGAACAAGCAGCCGCACATACACATACACACGCATGCACGTCGTCATATGAGCGAAATATTCTCCAGCACGACGTTAAACCCAGTTTCACCGCACTTTGTTATCTCGGATATTACAAACTGGGTCCACCCGTGAAGATCCGGGTTAGAATATTGATGTTCAGTAACCCATGTTTGTCGTAAGAGGCGACTAACGGGATCGGGTGGTCAGGCTCGCTGACCTGGTTGACACATGTCATCGGTTCCCAATTGCGCAGATCGATGCTCATGTTGTTGATCACTAGATTGTCTGGTCCAGATTCGATTATTTCCAGACCGCCGCCATAAAGCTTGGATATTGCTGAGTGCAGCGTAAAACTAAACTCACTCACTCACACTCACAAAGTGGGTCCCTCGAATCTAATGTTTAATAGCTGGGAAACATAATTCATTACATTTGAACAATACGTTGAGCCATCTCCCTTGGATGAACAAAATGGAACTATATTTCCGGGTTCATGTGTATGTATATATGTATCTCTGTGTGTGCGCGCGTGTGGTTACATTTACGAATACAGGTGATGTATATGTAACTCCTGCGTTCTATATAATCATTGTTGTGATGGGTTAGCCGACTGGTTAAAGTGTTCTTTCAATATGTGACGCCCATTTCTGATGTCGCCCGCCGTGATATTGCTGGAATATGGCTAAAAGCGGTCTATATCGTACGCAATGACTTTTTCCATTTCAATGTATTTTTATCCGAATAAAAAACTATACACATACATCAATGTCAGATAAACGAAAGTACAATGTCCTATAGGAAGGCCTCTGGCATTGGACTCGCAAAACGCTCTCGAACTGAAGTTCATGTCCTCACTGACATGGTTTCCGCACCCATCCATCTAGTTCACCCTGCCCATCAAACCGATCTGGATCAGTCCGTTAAAGCAGTGCATCAGTCCCTTCACACCAATCCACGTACTCAGTAATCAGCCTGGTCGACAACCCGTTCATCTCCCTAGAAATCAGCCTGACTACCCAGTGCCTCCGTCACTCTACGTCAATGCACATACCCAGCAATCAACCTGACCGACAACTCATTCATCTCTCAATCATTCCGCCTGTCAATACAGTGCCTCCGTCACTCTACGTCAATGCACATACCCAGCAATCAACCTGACCGACAACTCATTCATCTCTCAATCATTCCGCATGTCCATACAGTGCCTCAGTCACTCTATGCCAACCCACATACCCAACAATCAACCTGACCGACAACCCATTCATCTCTCAATCATTCAGCCTGCCAATACAGTGCCTCAGTCACTCTACGTCCACCCACATACCCGGCAATCAACCTGACCGACAACTCATTCATCTCTCAATCATTCAGCCCGTCTACCCAGTGCTTCCGTCACTCTACGTCCACCCACATACCCGGCAATCAACCTAACCGGCAACTCATTCATCTGTCAATAATTCAGCCCGTCTACCCAGTGCCTCCGTCACTCTACGTCCACCCACATACCCGGCAATCAACCTGACCGATAACACATTCATCTCTCAATCATTCAGCCCATCCACACTGTGCCTCCGTCACTCTACGCCCACCCACATACCCGGGAATCAACCTGACCGGCAACTCACATATCTCTCAATCATTCCGCCTGTCCATACAGTGCCTCCGTCACTCTACGTCCACCCACATACCCGGCAATCAACCTGAACGATAACTCATTCATCTCTCAATCATTCAGCCCGTCCACACTGTGCCTCCGTCACTCTACGCCCACCCACATACCCGGCAATCAACCTGACCGACAACTCAATCATCTCTCAATCATTCAGCCCGTCTACCCAGTGCCTCCGTCACTCTACGTCCACCCACATACCCGGCAATCAACCTGACCGGCAACTCATTCATCTCTCAATCATTCAGCCTGTCCATACAGTGCCTCAGTCACTCTACGTCCACCCACATACCCGGCAATCAACCTGACCGACAACTCATTCATCTCTCAATCATTCAGCCTGTCCACACAGCGCCTCCGTCACTCTACGTCCACCCACATACACATCAATTGTTTAACCTCACTTTCCCCACATCTGAAGGTTTGGATAAAGGATTAGGAGGTCACTGGACTGTGGATTTGGGACTATGGTCAGTTCTAATTAGTGTCACTGGTAAATCAACCTGACCGACAACTCATTCATCTCTCAATCAGTAAGTATAATCACCCCATCTACCAACATTTTCTCTATTAACGTATAATCATTAGGTGAACGCACACATAATGTTTATTTTTCAAAATAATGAAACTCAGATACACGTGTCATAAACATGCACGGGATTCAACTCTTGTTGGCCTTATCTGTTGACACACGATACACTGCAGGTCATCGTATCAATTTATCGTGTCACTTTGACCGCTCTGATATCAAGTTAGACTTGCTGTTAAGCTTATATGAAGTACGGTACTAAAGGTCACGTATTCAGCAGGCATACGGATAAGACCCAGGCACTGTCTTCAAAATGAAGTCGGGTAGTTAGAAACAAAAACAGATCTCAACATGCTGCAATGAACTGTAAACGTCGACGTGAAATAACCGCTACCCTACAGCGAAAGAAAAGTAACGCTATACAAGATATGATATTACCAGATTTAGAAAGGAAATAGTGAAAATCCACTTAAAGATATAAAGATAACTACAGTTTCCCCGGAACTTGAATGACTGATATCCGGTATAACTACAGTACACGTCCGCCGCCATATAGCTGGAATATTGCTCAGTGCGGCGTAAAACTACACTCACTCACTACAGTGCACGCATCTAATGTAAGTAACGATAAGGCCTCATCCCACCACGTGACCCTCTCATACGCCTGTGACCATCTGCATCATGGACTCCGAGCAGATCACACGTTGTCGGACATCGCTGCGAGTTGTTACCGCTGTTCATACTACAAGGCGAGTGTACTACTTCACTTCTACTGGCCTTTGTTATCAGTTGTGGTTGTATGTCTGGCTTCAATGTATCCAACAGAGTTGCCATTGTCATTGTAATAGTAGACGCCAAAGTTGTGGTTTATGTCTGGCTTCAATGTATCCAACAGAGTTGCCATTGTCATTGTAATAGTAGAAGCCATAACTTGTTTGAGTGGCATTTTAGAAGTTGAGACGTACAATATATAACAAGTTTTATGGATAACAACTTCTTTATTTTCGTGAGTGCGACGTTTCGATACAGATTCTTGTACCGTTGTCAAGCAAGAGTGATACATGAAGTGTAGGAGCTGCATATATATACTGTATATAACAATGAAACAACATAATAGACAAGGGAAACAACATAATTGCCATGATTGGCTAAGCAGTAAGCTGATGAAGCCAGTAAGTACATAAAGGATAGTGAGAGGAAGCCAGAGATGTAGTTACAATGAGATGTTTATACAATGGATGCGATGTTTATACAATAGACTGGGCTTGGTGGAGGAGTGGATCATAAGCAGATGGAATGAAGTATCCTTGGTCACGGTTGATGGTAGGCTTGTGCCGTTTGATGTGAATGGCTTCTGTGAGCTTGCGTTTAGTGAAGTCCGTTTGGTTGTTGGCGAGAATGGTAATGTCGGACCACTCTATTTGATGATTGGGGTTGGCTTTGATGTGGTCAGAGATAGCTGATTTGGTGTCGGAATTAGCAACAGAGGTGCGATGTTCTTTGACTCGGGTGTTGATGGGTCGGGATGTTTCACCTATGTAGCATTGTCCACAATCACAGTCTATTTTGTAAATAACACATTTCGGGTTGTTGTTGTTGACGGTGGGTTGTTTTCTTCCGTTGGCATGGAGGAGGTTGTTGAGGCTGGAGGACGCTGAGAAGGTAGTGTCTATTCCTGCCTGTTGTTTCAGGAGTCGGCTGATTTGGTGTGATGGTTTACCAATGTAGGGAATGGATATCTTGATGGGGGCTGATTCTAGTTTAGACCTTTTGGCAGGAGGTGAAAGCGTTGCTTCGATGGTTCTGTTGACTATTTCAGGTGGGTAGTGGTTGCGTTCCACAAAGACTTTCCTCAGGTGTTCAATTTCTTCCTGTAGGTTTGTTGAGCAGATGTTTTTGGCTCTTCTGGTCAATGTAGAGATGACGCCGGTCTTGACTTTAGGTGGGTGGTTGGAGTTGTAGTGGATGTATTGATCCGTATGAGTTGGTTTTCTGTACACGGAGGTCTGGAGTTGGTTGCAGGAGGTGCGGGACACAAGGACATCAAGGAAAGGTAGTTGGTTGTTCTGCTCTGTTTCAACACCCGAGTCAAAGAACATCGCACCTCTGTTGCTAATTCCGACACCAAATCAGCTATCTCTGACCACATCAAAGCCAACCCCAATCATCAAATAGAGTGGTCCGACATTACCATTCTCGCCAACAACCAAACGGACTTCACTAAACGCAAGCTCACAGAAGCCATTCACATCAAACGGCACAAGCCTACCATCAACCGTGACCAAGGATACTTCATTCCATCTGCTTATGATCCACTCCTCCACCAAGCCCAGTCTATTGTATAAACATCGCATCCATTGTATAAACATCTCATTGTAACTACATCTCTGGCTTCCTCTCACTATCCTTTATGTACTTACTGGCTTCATCAGCTTACTGCTTAGCCAATCATGGCAATTATGTTGTTTCCCTTGTCTATTATGTTGTTTCATTGTTATATACAGTATATATATGCAGCTCCTACACTTCATGTATCACTCTTGCTTGACAACGGTACAAGAATCTGTATCGAAACGTCGCACTCACGAAAATAAAGAAGTTGTTATCCATAAAACTTGTTATATATGGTAGAAGCCATAGTTGTGGTTTATGTCTGACTTCAATGTATCAAACAGGGTTGTCATTGTAATAGTAGACGTCAAAGTTGTGGTTTATGTCTGACTTCAATGTATCCAACAGAGTTGCCATTGTCATTGTAATAGTAGACGTCAAAGTTGTGGTTTATGTCTGACTTCAATGTATCCAACAGGGTTGTCATTGTAATAGTAGACGTCAAAGTTGTGGTTTATGTCTGGCTTCAATGTATCCAACAGAGTTGCCATTGTAATGGAAGACGCCAAAGTTGTGGTTTATGTCTGACTTCAATGTATCCAACAGGGTTGTCATTGTAATAGTAGACGTCAAAGTTGTGGTTTATGTCTGACTTCAATGTATCCAACAGAGTTGCCATTGTCATTGTAATAGTAGACGCCAAAGTTGTGGTTTATGTCTGACTTCAATGTATCCAACAGGGTTGTCATTGTAATAGTAGACGTCAAAGTTGTGGTTTATGTCTGGATTCAATGTATCCAACAGAGTTGCCATTGTAATGGAAGACGCCAAAGTTGTGGTTTATGTCTGACTTCAATGTATCCAACAGAGTTGCCATTGTCATTGTATTGGTAGACGCCATAGTTGTGGTTTATGTCTGACTTCAATGTATCCAACAGAGTTGTCATTGTCATTGTAATGGTAGACGCCAAAGTTGTGGTTGTATGTCTGACTTCAATGTATCCAACAGAGCTGTCATTGTCATTGTAATAGTAGACGCCAAAGTTGTGGTTGTATGTCTGACTTCAATGTATCCAACAGAGTTGCCATTGTCATTGTAATAGTAGACGCCAAAGATGTGGTTTATGTCTGACTTCAATGTATCCAACAGAGTTGCCATTGTCATTGTAATGGTAGACGCCAAAGTTGTGGTTGTATGTCTGACTTCAATGTATCCAACAGGGTTGCCATTGTAATAGTAGACGGCAAAGTTGTGGTTGTATGTCTGACTTCAATGTATCCAACAGAGTTGCCATTGTCATTGTAATACAAGACGCCAAAGTTATGGTTTATGTCTGACTTCAATGTAACCAGCAGTGTTGCCATTGTCATTGTAACAATAGACGCATAAGTCCACCCACATACCCAGCAACAAACCTGACCGGCAACTCATTCATCTCTCAATCATTCAGCCTGCCCATACAGTGCCTCCGTCACTCTACGTCCACCCACATACCCAACAATCAACCTAACCGGCAACTCATTCATCTCTCAATGATTCAGCTTGTCCACACAGTGCCTCCGTCACTCTACGTCCACCCACATACCCGGCAATCAACCTGACCTGGAACTCATTCATCTCTCAATCATTCAGCCTGTCAATACAGCGCCTCCGTCACTCTACGTCCACCCACATACCCAGCAATCAACCTAACCGGCAACTCATTCATCTCTCAATCATTCCGCCTGTCAATACAGTGCCTCCGTCACTCTACGTCCACCCACATACCCAGCAATGAACCTGACCTGCAACTCATTCATCTCTCAATCATTCGGCCTGTCCATACAGTACCTCCGTCACTCTACGTCCACCCACATACCCAGCAATGAACCTGACCGACAACTCAATCATCTCTCAATCATTCAGCCCGTCCATACAGTGCCTCAGTCACTCTACGTCCACCCACATACCCAGCAACAAACCTGACCGACAACTCATTCATCTCTCAATCATTCAGCCTGTCCATACAGTGCCTCCGTCACTCTACGTCCACCCACATACCCAACAATCAACCTAACCGGCAACTCATTCATCTCTCAATGATTCAGCTTGTCCACACAGTGCCTCCGTCACTCTACGTCCACCCACATACCCGGCAATGAACCTGACCTGCAACTCATTCATCTCTCAATCATTCGGCCTGTCCATACAGTACCTCCGTCACTCTACGTCCACCCACATACCCAGCAATGAACCTGACCGACAACTCAATCATCTCTCAATCATTCAGCCTGTCCATACAGTGCCTCAGTCACTCTACGTCCACCCACATACCCAGCAACAAACCTGACCGACAACTCATTCATCTCTCAATCATTCAGCCTGTCCATACAGTGCCTCCGTCACTCTACGTCCACCCACATACCCAACAATCAACCTAACCGGCAACTCATTCATCTCTCAATCATTCAGCTTGTCCACACAGTGCCTCCGTCACTCTACGTCTACCCACATACCCGGCAATCAACCTGACCGACAACTCATTCATCTCTCAATCATTCAGCCTGTCAATACAGCGCCTCCGTCACTCTACGTCCACCCACATACCCAGCAATCAACCTAACCGGCAACTCATTCATCTCTCAATCATTCCGCCTGTCAATACAGTGCCTCCGTCACTCTACGTCCACCCACATACCCAGCAATGAACCTGACCTGCAACTCATTCATCTCTCAATCATTCGGCCTGTCCATACAGTACCTCCGTCACTCTACGTCCACCCACATACCCAGCAATGAACCTGACCGACAACTCAATCATCTCTCAATCATTCAGCCTGTCCATACAGTGCCTCAGTCACTCTACGTCCACCCACGTACCCGGCAATCAACCTGACCGACAACTCATTCATCTCTCAATCATTCAGCCTGTCCACACAGTGCCTCCGTCACTCTACGTCCACCCACATACCCGGCAATCAGCCTGACCGACAACTCATTCATCTCTCAATCATTCAGCCTGTCCATATAGTGCCTCAGTCACTCTACGTCCACCCACATACCCGGCAATCAACCTGACCCACAACTCAATCATCTCTCAATCATTCAGCCCGTCTACCCAGTGCCTCCGTCACTCAAGGTCAATCAACATACCCAGCAATCAACCTGACCGACAACTCATTCATCTCTCAGTCATTCAGCCTGTCCATACAGTGCCTCTGTGCCTCAACACCCATTCACATACCCGGCAATCAACCTGACCTACAACTCATTCATCTCTCAATCATTCAGCCTGTCCACACAGTGCCTCCGTCACTCTACGTCCACCCACATACCCGGCAATCAGCCTGACCGACAACTCATTCATCTCTCAATCATTCGGCCTGTCCATATAGTGCCTCAGTCACTCTACGTCCACCCACATACCCGGCAATCAACCTGACCGACAACTCAATCATCTCTCAATCATTCAGCCCGTCTACCCAGTGCCTCCGTCACTCAAGGTCAATCAACATACCCAGCAGTCAACCTGACCGACAACTCATTCATCTCTCTGTCATTCAGCCTGTCCACACAGTTCCTCAGTCACTCTACGTCCACCCACATACCCGGCAATCAACCTGACCGACAACTCATTCATCTCTCAATCATTCAGCCTGTCCACACAGCGCCTCCGTCACTCTACGTCCACCCACATACCCATCAATTGTTTAACCTCACTTTCCCCACATCTGAAGGTTTGGATAAAGGATTAGGAGGTCACTGGACTGTGGATTTGGGACTATGGTCTCTTTTAATTAGTGTCATTGGTAAATCAACCTGACCGACAACTCATTCATCTCTCAATCAGTCAGTCTAATCATCCAATCTACCAATATTTTCTCTATTAACGTATAACCATTAGGTGAACGCACACATAATGTTCATTTTTCCAAATAATGAAACTCAGATACACGTGTGATAAACATGCATGGGATTCACCTCTTGTTGGCCTTATCTGTTGACACACGATACACTTGTCATCGTATCAATTTATCGTGTCACTTTGACCGCTCTGATATCAAGTTAACAAGTTGCCATTGTCATTGTAATAGTAGACGCCAAAGTTGTGGTTTATGTCTGACTTCAATGTATCCAACAGGATTGCCACTTTCATTGTAATAGTAGACGCCAAAGTTGTGGTTGTATGTCTGACTTCAATGTATCCAACAGAGTTGCCATTGTCATTGTAATACAAGACGCCAAAGTTGTGGTTGTATGTCTGACTTCAATGTATCCAACAGAGTTGCCACTGTCATTGTAATAGTAGACGCCAAAGTTGTGGTTTATGTCAGACTTCAATGTATCCAACAGAGTTGCCATTGTCATTGTATTGGTAGACGCCAAAGTTGTGGTTTATGTCTGGCTTCAATGTATCCAACAGGTTGCCATTGTCATTGTAATGGTAGACGCCAAAGTTGTGGTTTATGTCTGACTTCAATGTATCCAACAGAGTTGCCATTGTCATTGTAATGGTAGACGCCAAAGCTGCGGTTTATGTTTGACTTAAATGTATCCAACAGAGTTGCCATTGTCATTGTAATGGTAGACGCCAAAGTTGTGGTTTATGTCTGGCTTCAATGTATCCAACAGAGTTGCCATTGTCATTGTAATGGTAGACGCCAAAGTTGTGGTTTATGTCTGACTTCAATGTATCCAACAGAGTTGCCATTGTCATTGTAATGGTAGACGCCAAAGTTGTGGTTTATGTCAGACTTCAATGTATCCAACAGACTTGCCATTGTCATTGTAATGGTAGACGCCAAAGTTGTGGTTTATGTCTGACTTCAATGTATCCAACAGAGTTGCCATTGTCATTGTAATGGTAGACGCCAAAGTTGTGGTTTATGTCTTGCTTAAATGTATCCAACAGAGTTGCCATTGTCATTGTAATGGTAGACGTCAAAGCTGTGGTTTATGTCGCAGCTGAGACAGCAGATGTAGCAGCAGCGGCATCTGAAGCAGTAGGTGAAGCAATATTGTGAGGGAGGAAGATTGGTTTAACTTTGAATTCTTTTTAATAATAATGAATTATAATGAGTGAATTTGTACAGCACCAAACTCCACGCCAGCTCGTATGCTCATGGCGCTACAAGTAAAGTTATTTGGGTGAGAGTCTAGACAAAGTACTTCTTAAATAAAAACGTTTTGTGGAGAGTTTTGAAGGAGAGCAGGCTTGGGGTTGTTTTGAAATCTTCAGGCAAAGAATTCCATAGAAGAGCTGATTGGTAGGCAAATGATCTGAATCCAAATCGTTTCAGTCTGTATCTAGGCACTGTGCACAGAACTTGGGGCTGGGATCTGAGAGTTCTGGTTGCATTATTCCGGCTTACAAGTTCACACAAATAGGATGGCGCGATAGCGTTAAGGCACTGGTATGCGAGTACAAGAACTTCTATCTGAGATGGGCTGTGAGTGTAGGGATCATAGAAGTGGCTGTATATGTGCAAAATTTGAAGCAAGACACACATTTCGGGCTGCAGTGTTTTATACTTTTTGTAGCTTTGAAAGAGATTCTTGTGACACACCACACAGTAGGCTATTGTAATAGTCCAGGCGTGAGAATATCCTTGTTCGAACTAATGCAGCGGCAGCTTCCTCGGATATAAAATGCCTTACTTTGCCGATGCTTCTTAAATGAAAATGGCATTTTCGACATAGCTCTTGTATATGACAATCCATACTCAATGTGGACTCCATCAAGACACCCAGATTCTTAACCAAGGGTACAAATGGTATACTTTCGTGACACACAGACAGGTGCGTAACACCAGTGCATCCGTACCAATAAGCATAGCTTCCGTTTTATCTTGATTCAACTTTAATTTGTTTGTTGACATCCAGGATGCGATCTGGACGGTGCATGATTCTAATTTAGCCAGTGGTTGTCTGTCATCAAGATTCAAACAGTCTGACATCTGAGTATCGTCAGCATACATGTGATGATCGACAGAACTATTATCAATCACATGGCCTAGTTGAGTGGTGTACAAAGTAAACAGAACCGGTCCAAAAACCGAACCTTGTGGTACACCATAATCCATGTTGTGACATCTGGATTGTGAATATTTGAACACTATTTCTATTACGATAAGAATTTATAGTGAGTCAAGACCTCTCCCTGTGAGAAGTAAAGGAAAAACCTCTGTGAAGAACAAAGACTCTAAACCCACCATCTCTGACCTCATCCAAGCTCACTTAGACCACAACACCCTTCCAACAGCATTAATGTACTCACCACCAATGGCACCGACCACAAGATAAGAAAACTACGAGAAGCATAAAGACGCTCCAACCGGCCATAAACAGAGACCAAGGATATTACATCCCCACTGCTTACACATCTCCATAGGCGGATCCAGAGGGTGTGGGGGTGGTGGTGGTGGTGGTGGGTGGTGGGTGGTAGTGGTGGTGGTGTGTGTGTGTGTGTGTGTGTGTGTGTGTGTGTGTGTGTGTGTGTGTGTGTGTGTGTGCGTGTGCGTGTGCGTGTGCGTGTGCGTGCAGGGGTGCCCCCTCTTTTGTCCTGAAAGATTATTAAATGACCATTGAAACTCTCGTGAAAACGGGTGAAAATGAACTGTGTAAAGCTGTATCCGCTCCTGATTCCCACATCAACTCATCCCTAGGCAGTTATTCTCGTGTCCATCACATCACTGGCTTCCCCCTTAATTTCTCCCTCGTTAATTCTGCTCGTGTAACAATTATATTTATTGTGCAACCATTAACACTTTGTACATGAACCTTATCAATTGTGTAGGCATAAAACAAGTTACTGAACAACCTTTACTCCTGTTTATACTACTGCAATATTGTACATAACTTGCTTGATAACGATGGTAGCATCAAAACGTTGCTTAAATTATTGATAAAGAAGTTGTATATCCATTAAGCTTTCCCACTTGTTATTTTGAAGCATGGCTTCCTTTTTATCCGATACAGGTATAGGTTGGACACAGTCTTCGTCAAGCGGCTATGGCGGCTTGTGAAAGTCATGTTTCCAGCATGGAGACACATCACCACACTACTGACCGTTATCCTGCTCGTACTCTCAGCTCTAGGTAAGGACATGGCAGGACCATTATCCTGCTCGTACTCTCAGCTCTAGGTAAGAACATCACAGGACCGTTATCCTGCTCGTACTCTCAGCTCTAGGTAAGGACATGGCAGGACCATTATCCTGCTCGTACTCTAAGCTCTAGGTAAGAACATCACAGGACCGTTATCCTGCTCGTACTCTCAGGTCTAGATAATGACATGACAGGACCGTTATCCTGCTCGTTCTCTCAGCTCTAGGTAAGGACATGACAGGATCGTCATCCTGCTCGTACTCTCAGGTCTAGGTAAGGACATGGCAGGACCGTTATCCTGCTCGTTCTCTCAGCTCTAGGTAAGGACATGGCAGGGCCGTCATCCTGCTCGTACTCTCAGCTCTAGGTAAGGTCATGGCAGGACCGTTATCCTGCTCGTACTCTCAGCTCTAGGTAAGGACATGGCAGGACCGTTATCCTGCTCGAAGGTAAGGACATGACACGACCGTTATTCTGCTCGTACTCTCAGCTCTAGGTAAGAACATGACAGGACCGTTATCCTGCTCGTTCTCTCAGGTCTAGGTAAGGACATGGCAGGACCGTTATCCTGCTCGTTCTCTCAGCTCTAGGTAAGGTCATGGCAGGACCGTTATCCTGCTCGTACTCTCAGCTCTAGGTAAGGACATGACAGGACCGTCATCCTGCTCGTACTCTCAGCTCTAGGAAAGGACATGGCAGGACCGTTATCCTGCTCGTACACTCAGCTCTAGGTAAGGACATGGCAGGACCATTATCCTGCTCGTACTCTCAGCTCTAGGTAAGGACATGGCAGGACCGTTATCCTGCTCGTTCTCTCAGCTCTAGGTAAGGTCATGGCAGGACCATTATCCTGCTCGTACTCTCAGGTCTAGGTAAGGACATGGCAGGACCGTTATCCTGCTCGTACTCTCAGCTTTAGGTAAGGACATGACACGACCGTTATCCTGCTCGTACTCTCAGCTCTAGGTAAGGACATGGCAGGACCGTTATCCTGCTCGTATCCTGCTCGTCTCTCCTCAGCTCTAGGTAAGGTCATGGCAGGATCATTATCCTGCTCGTACTTTCAGGTCTAGGTTAGGACATGGCAGGACCGTTATCCTGCTCGTACTCTCAGCTCTAGGTAAGGACATGGCAGGACCGTTATCCTGCTCGTTCTCTCAGCTCTAGGTAAGGTCATGGCAGGACCATTATCCTGCTCGTACTCTCAGGTCTAGGTAAGGACATGGCAAGACCGTTATCCTGCTCGTACTTTCAGCTCTAGGTAAGGACATGACAGTGTGAGAACATATGCTCACTCTAAAAGAACATATGCTCACTCTAAACGATACTCCTGGTGTTTCAAAGAGCAGAATTCCCGAAGCTGGTTTGTACAATTTTAAGCCATTTTATAATCACAAACACGTTGATCTAATAATCTCTACATGGATGTATATTTCTGCCCAGAGCAAGTCGTCATCAACAAGGTTGGGTTCATCGCTAGCGGATACTACGAAGTTCTAGGAAAGAAAGACAGCAGAGGCTTTTGGTTAGCCACAGTCAAATCTGTAGGTTTCATCATGGCCGAATGTCTGGTACGTGACACAGTAAAGAAAGTCTTGTCTATGTATCGATATATTTGTTATAGTATATTGTTGCACGTATTTAGGGATAATTATATGTGAAAGTGAACTACTGCAGATATCGAAATTTATCAAAGCGAATTGTCGTAGATCTATAGTATATTGTTGCACGTATATAGGGATAATTATATGTGAAAGTGAACTTCGGCAGATATCGAGATTTATCAAAGCGAATTGTCGTAGATCTAGAGATATCAGTTAAAGTGAAGTATTGCACATATAGAGATATTTATCAAAACGAAGTGTTGCAGATATCGAGATAGTTGTCAAACTGAATTGCTGTACATTTAGATATATTTTTCAAAGTGAAGTTTTGCAGATATCGAGAACTTTGTCGAAGTGAAAGTGAGATATTTTTCAAAGTGAAGTGTTGTAAACATAGAGATTAATACTCATAACTCATAATATGATATTTGTTAATTGTTGTTCGTGCAACATATGTTATATGTAGGAGTACTCTTGTAATTGTTGTTCATGTTTATCGCCAAATTTCCTGTGACTATACTGCCTAATTACGTCAATCCGAGCACGTAACATGTGAAACTGTACACTATATATGTTAGAGTCTTCACATTTCAGTTAATATCACTGCAGTTCTAAGTACGCATTGACGTATATTGACTGATTGCAGATCTACAGTAGCAAGACGTTCGTCGGTTCGTATCTGTACGTCACGTGGCGTGAACTCATCGGCCGCTACCTCCACAACCGCTACTTTCAGGACACCAAATACTACCACGTGGGGATAGGGACCAAGCTCATAGATAACCCGTATGTTCTGCTCACTCTACTGTAAAGTCAGTATAGAATATTTACCTCTAGTACCATGAAGATCCGGGCTAGAATTGGTCTTCAGCAACCCATGGTTGTCGTTAGAGGCGACTAATTGGATCGGATGGTCATGTTCGCTGATGACATCGTATCCCATTTGCGTAGATCGATGCTCATGCTATTGATTACCGGATTGTTTGGTCCAACTCGATTATTTACGGCCTGCCGCCATATAGCTGGAATATTGCTGAGTGCGGCGTGAAACAACAAACATCGCCTAGCAAGTGACATCGGTCTGAACGATCGCCCTGTTCCTTCTGGCATTGCGTCCATTGCTGAAAGTATGAGTATGTTCGAATCATATATTACACCCGGGTATGATCCTGAATCGTCAAACTGCTGGAATTGGTTTGAAAGGTTCTTCATTTCAGAATGAAAATTGATTTGGTTCCCGGCTTTGAAACAAGTTTTTTTTTTACCGGATATCATGGGAAAAGTGTTTTACGTCCGATCAGACCGGTTCAGCTCATCCTTGAAGGTCAGCAGGTCTTGAAGCAGTGCGCGAAACATAATCTGTCTCTCATCGATGAGCTGAGTTTTTATATCAAATCGTAGGTGTTTTATATAAAGCATCAGAATAAAACCTAAAAATATACTGTGGAACTTGAGAGAAGAAGAGCGTCTTTTTTCATATTAGCCACCAAGGACAATCGTATGATTGTTAGAATAGATCAGGTAATCCATTCTGGACCAGAAAATGTGTGATTCCCAGCATGTTGAACAGGGGACCTCGGTTGACCCCGGGTTGACCATAATGAACGAGTGACCTAAACTATGTACGTTGGGTAATATATACATTTCTGGATTTCCTATAATGATACTGTATCTGTCAATGTGATGTAGTTGTAACATTCCTGGCTGTTTATGTTTTATAAACTGTTTTGTAGCGATCAGCGTCTCGCCCAGGACACGGACCGTCTCTGTAACCTCTTCAGTCAGATTTTCATCAACATCGTCATCACCCCCGCCGTCATCATCTACTACACGTACGACGCTGCCAGAAGGTCTGTTATACCCTCATTGTCTCACCAATAAACACTCTCAGGCGCTTTTGTACCTTTTTCTATAGGTACTGGATGCCCTGGGCGCCGGCCCGCTGTCTGACATAGCCCTGTACGTCAAACTCTAGGAATCCGTTTAACCCAAGTAAAGTGAACCCCTCGGTGGCGGATTTGAATAGAATAGATAGAATGTGGTGGTGGTGGTGGTGGAGGTGGAATTGGGTTTAACGTCGTGCTTAAGAATATTTCGCTCATATGACGACGTGCATGCGTGTGTATGTGTATGTGCGGCTGCTTGTACTAGCCCAGACTGAAGCTGCTTTTATAGTGCTAGCCCACTGAGATACCATGCCGCAGTGAAACATGAATACCCCAATACTGACTCCGAGCCGACCAGTCCTTGTTGTACCCATTAATGCCGAGCGCCAGGCAGGGACCAACAAGTACCATATTTTAACGTCTTTTGGTATGACGCGGACGGGGATCGAATCCGCGACCTTCCGCACTCCGGGCGGACGCTCTAACCACTACACCACGGAGGCGGTCTAGATAGAATGTACATGCTAAGGGTTTAGTGACAGGGTTAAAAGTGTACCATCATACCCTGACCACATGGAGTAATGCTCATCTTACCAAACATCGTGTATCACTGAATATTGCTGAGTGTGGTGTTAGACCATGGAATATTGACAAACTTGACATAACCATCATGAGTGGTTCTGGAGACTCTAGATTCGCAATATTTTGAACGAGACAAACATTAATGCTATATAGGGTTTCAGCGACTGTAAAACATATGTTATCGTTTGTGTTTAACAGTACAGATTTCTGTATATCAGACAAAACAATGCAGTATTTGTAGAACAAAATAAACAGTCAAGATTACATAGATAGCAGATCCAAATGCATGCGACAGCCGATCAAGACGTGTACTCCATGTGCCCGTGTACGTCATAGATGTCAATAGTATGGCTAGCGGGGTGCATGAAGTAACCATTAACATCTCTTTGATAATTTTAATAACAATTTATCATAATTTGTAGCAAGTTGTGCACCCCAGGCCCTTTGAATCTGCGCCGTTGTAAAGCTAAAGATCGATTGATCTTTGTAGCCTAAATTCACAGAAAAGTAATTGTATCAACTACAGTCATTTTCATCTTATAAATAAGTAGATAATATAAATATGTCAGCAGTGAGTCAAGGTGTCATAAATCACTTAGCCGTGTATGTAGTGTAACCAACAAGTCAGCAAGTGACGTCAGTTCACGGAGTCTGAGACATGTAGATTCATCTTTGTTTGCTGATTCAGAATTGCAACAGGATGTTGTGATTTGGAGAATACTAATAAACAAACTAATGAATGTTTACTTGTACTTGATCCACGTTAGAATTCTTCTTGTTATCTTCCCCACTATTGTCGGTCATAGGTTCAAGAACGATAGGTTTAACCTGCACTTCATCACCACCGATCCGTCTTTCACGACACAGTCACATTCCATGGGAACTCGATAACTACTGTCACTGTCAGAGACATTAATGTCGGACTTATGAACGATTTTAGCTCGCGGTGTTTTTCACGATGCTTAATTCTTTTAATGGAATATATCATGTATTTTTTAAAAGGAGAAGTTTAAATACAGTGTAAATGCGATGGGGACCAAAACTCGAACAAATGAATACAGCTGAAGAAATGTCTCGAACATCTGTTACACAATATTTAACTCAGTTTGTGATATACAGGGTCTGTGTCACATTTCCGGTTTTGAGGTGCGGTGAGGTGAGGTGAGGTGTAATTTGGTTTAACGTCGTGCTTGAGAATATTTCGCTCATATGACGACGTGCATGCGTGTGTATGTGTATGTGCGGCTGCTTGTACTAGCCCAGACTGAAGCTGGTTTTATAGTGCTAGCCCACTGAGATACCATACCGCAGTGAAGCATGAATACCCCACTCAGACACATTATACTGACTCCGAGCCGACCAGTCCTTGTTGTACCCATTAATGCCGAGCGCCAGGCAGGGACCAACAAGTACCATATTTTAACGTCTTTTGGTATGACGCGGTCGGAGATCGAACCCGCGACCTTCCGCTCTCCGGGCGGACGCTCTAACCCCTACACCACGGAGTCCGGTTTTGAAAGAAAGAGAAGTCCATTATTGTACTATACACCCCTTGGTACGATGGAGGATATAGCGTACAGATGTTCATTGTGTAAATCTGGATATAATAGGAGAATGTCAGTATTTAACTTCAGTGCAATTTTTATGAGTTACAAGTTCATGTCTCCTTGTCCCCTTCTGCTAAAGGTTAATAAAGGTGACGACTAGCTCCGCTTTGCTGACACCAAGTGCAGTCGACATTGACCGTAAACGAGGGCTTGCTTGCCGGGGTGCAAACGGAGCATCTCTTCCAACAAGACCATTATATGTGGCTTTCAGTCAGGGGTGGATACAGCTTTTTAGGAAAGGCGTGGGGGTGGTGCACAGTTCAGAATGGGGGTGGGGTGGGGGTGCACAGTTGATTTTCACGCGTTTTCATCGAGTTCAATGGTCATTTAAAAGAAGTTCAGGTCAAAATGCACCCATGCCCTGGCACAGCTCCTATTGTGGTTTCGTTTCAGCCTCTGGAATTGACAGATAGGAAGAACACCACTTCCAACTAGACCATATATGTAGCTTTTATTATACCCCGGCACCGCCCCTGCTCTTCCAACTAGACCATATATGTAGCTTTTATTATACCCCGGCACCGCCCCTGCTCTTCCAACTAGACCATATATGTAGCTTTTATTATACCCCGGCACCGCCCCTGCTCTTCCAACTAGACCATATATGTAGCTTTTATTATACCCCGGCACCGCCCCTGCTCCTCCAACTAGACCATATATGTAGCTTTTATTATACCCCGGCACTGCCCCTGCTCTTCCAACTAGACAATATATGTAGCTTTTATTATACCCCGGCACCGCCCCTGCTCTTCCAACTAGACCATATATGTAGCTTTTATTATACCCCGGCACCGCCCCTGCTCCTCCAACTAGACCATATATGTAGCTTTTATTATACCCCGGCACCGCCCCTGCTCTTCCAACTAGACCATATATGTAGCTTTTATCATACCCTGGCACTGCCCCTGCTCTTCCAACTAGACCATATATGTAGCTTTTATCATACCCTGGCACCGCCCCTGCTCTTCCAACTAGACCATATATGTAGCTTTTATTATACCCCGGCACCGCCCCTGCTCTTCCAACTAGACCATATATGGAGCTTTTATCATACCCTGGCACCGCCCCTGCTCTTCCAACTAGACCATATATGGAGCCTCTATCATACCCTGGCACCGACCCTGCTCTTCCAACTAGACCATATATGGAGCCTCTATCATACCGAGGATCCGCCTCTGCTGTGTTTTCGTTTCAACCTTTTAAATTGACAGATAAGACCACAGTGAAAATAAATCTTATTTGCAAACAGTATTTCGATTCCCAAATCTTATTTATTCACCACTTTCAAAGTTTGCAGAACGACATCTGCAGTAACAACGCTACAGTTGAACCATTTCTCTTTTCAGCTGTGTATACCCATGAGACATGCGCTGTAATAAAGAGGAAGGGGTATCATCTACACCTCCTTCGCACAGATCCCAAACACCTCTTACTTCCTTTACATGAACAAATGTTCTTATTTCCAAAGGAGAATCGGCACAGACAGCCTCCATGCTAATATCCTTTACAATGATATAAGCATGTCTTGCGGAGTTCACAAATACATTCTTCATCCGAACCATGCAAGGTTGAAGAGGGATGAGGGTTCGACAAAGAAGGGGGAAGTCCCATTCGCAAAGCCCCTGAATTGATGATGTGTCTAACCACCATGACTGCATCAGGATCACCTGAATTCTCATTGCTGCTTTCATTTATATATTTTAACCCCAAAAATATTTATAGATGAGTTGTTTGTTCATTTCAGTACTGGGTACAGTGGGCCAGTGGGAGTGATTATACTGTTTGCAGCAACAACGGCAGTCAACTACTTCCTCATGACCCCCATTGTCAACCTCTTCTACAAGCGGGAGAAACGAGAAGGTGACTTCAGGTGAGGCCGCAGTAGGTAAAACAGGGAAAAGGTGATCTCAGGTGAGATGCACAGTAGGTAAAACAAGGTGAAGGTGACATCTGATGAGATGCACAGTAGGTAAAACAAGGTGAAGGCGACCTCAGGTGAGGCCGCAGTAGGTAAAACAAGGTGAAGGCGACATCTGATGAGATGCACAGTAGGTAAAACAAGGTGAAGGCGACCTCAGGTGAGATGCACAGTAGATAAAACAAGGTATAGGTGACATCTGATGAGATGCACAGTAGGTAAAACAAGGTGAAGGCGACCTCAGGTGAGGAGCACAGTAGATAAAACAAGGTGAAGGCGACCTCAGGTGAGATGCACAGTAGATAAAACAAGGTGAAGGCGACCTCAGGTGAGGTGCACAGTAGATAAAACAAGGTGAAATGAACCTCAGTAAGTAGCACAAGGCGAGAGCCACTTCAGGTGAGATCGGCAGGGATAAAACAAGGTAAAGGTGACCTCAGGTGAGATCGGCAGGGATAAAACAATGTGAAGGCGACGTCAGGTGAAGTACACATAATTTAAAACAAGGAAACTGCGACCTAAATGAGGTTCATAGAAAGCAAAACATGGTGAAGGTGATCTCAGGTGATGTGCACAGTATGATATGAGACTTGAGAAGATCGAAACAGAAATATACACCGTCACTAAGCTTACCTATCACAAAGACTATCTAAAAACCCAGACTTACACATATGTTTTTGCAATTCATGAACAAAGTACTCATAATACCAATTTATACCGCTGGACCCAACCGACTGACTTCCAGTGATATGAATCCAAGTTCAGGAACAGTATTTTGCTGAGGTTGGATCTGAAGTCACTGGGCCTAAATTAGTTATCAAAACTTTCTCGGATGCAAATCGAGTTTACTCATTTTCTTGCTATATACAAATATGTTGGTTTTGTCTAATTTCTTCAGGTTCAAGCATATGCACATCCGTGTTAACTCGGAACAGATTGCCTTCTATAAAAGTGGAAAGCTGGAGCGAGAGCGAGCTGACAGAAGGCTGAGACGACTTCTGAACACCCAGTGGTCGCTCATAAGGAGGCAATATGCTCTCAACGGTAAGTTGGTGAAGCTATGTGAGATTTCAGTGACAAACGAACCATTAGTTAAAGTATAAGTCTTTACATTATTCGATTATTTTATATCTATACTCCCATGACAAAAAAATCAAAAGTGAATGAGGTAGATTTTTGCCAAGTCTAATATTTTGGTTGAGGAGTTGGAATCGGTGATAGTTGACGATCGTTTTTTGTCTGACAGGATCCTATGATCGTCAGTTCGAATCTCAGATATCACCCGGGCGATGGGGTAGCCTAGTGGTTAAAGCGTTGGCTCGCCACGCCGAAGACCCGGGTTCGAATCCCCACATGCGTACAATGTGTGAAGCCCATTTCTGGTGTTCCCCGCCATGATGTTGCTGGAATATTGCTAAAAGCGGCGTAAAACTAAACTCAGCCAGTCAGTCAGATATCACCCCGATTATGATTTTGATCTCACCTGACTTGATAGCTAGTTGTCGGGAATTGCCTCCCAACAAACAATCACACATAAATGTTTACATCGAGGGTGACATCTGAATTTCAAGGTTCGAATCCGATTTTCAATATGGCCACCTTTGCACCAAAATGATTAAAATACTGTTTAAAACAGCACTAGACAAATTACAGAGAGTCCAGAACTGTGCTGCTCGCCTCATAACTGGGACAAAACGCACAGAACACATCAGTCCAGTACTTAAGACTCTCCACTGGCTCCCCATCAGATACAGAGTCATGTTTAAGATTCTCATCTTTGTGTTCAACTCTCTCCACCTTCTGGCACCAGTATATATCAGTGACTTGATCTCACTTTACAACCCCAGAAGAGCACTGAGACCCAACTCCTCGCGAGTGTAGAGATTCCACTGACAAGAAAAAAGAATTTCGGTGACAGAGCTTTTTCTAAAGCAGGACCGTGTCTGTGGAATAACATGCCACCAAACATCCAGAACATTGAAGACCTTGAACAATTCAAACGTGTCTTGGAAACTCACTTTTTTGACAGTGCCTTTGCCTAAGCGCCTCTGAACAAAGTTGTGGGAAAAGGCGCTATATAAAAACTAACTTTATTATTATTATTATTATAAAACAGCATTCACCCCAAGTCACTAATTCTCCCTGGATACCCCAAGTCAGGCTCACTGGCTTGGTTGACACATGACATCGGATTCCAATTGCGTAGATCGATGCTCATGCTTTTGATGACTGGATTGTCTGGTCCACACTGAATTATTTATAGACCGATGCCATACAGCTGGGACAGTGCGGCATAAACAACCAACCAACCAACCAACCAACCAACCAACCTCGTAAAGCCAGCACGTGCTCATGGCACTGAAATCGGAACACACGCTCTTAACCGTTGTTCGTTTCGGTAGATTAAGACTATGGCGGAATCTGGATGATGTTGTCGTAGATTCGAGCGCTCTTATTATCGTTTAAATGAACACGTTCTGTAGCCCTTAACCCAACATATGTTATATTTGAGATCACACTTTCTTAGTAAAGTACAGATTTTATACTTTTGTCGGGATTCGAACCCACACCCTCAGAGTCAGGCACCTAATCGCCAGCACACAAAATCAGCTGCCTAACCTGCTCAGCCACTGCGGCTTCCGCGGTTGTTTTCATTCACCTGACGAAGGAGTAAGAATATACTCCGAAACCTGAAAATATAGAAGTTGACATCCATAAATTCTTGCCTTTATGCGTATCACTTCTAAATGCCGTTCAAAGAGATCATTATTCTTGTTGCCTAAGAACATACAAATAAACAAACAAACAAACGGACAAACGCATGCTCATAATGCAGTCGAAAATTGTACAATCGATTCTGATTTTAGCAGCCATTTCTTGTGGATGCGGGAAAGTTTTTGTCGCTTCTATTTACCAACCTATTGTGTGAAACTTCACAAACAATAAATACCATTGCAGTTCCTATCGCCATCTTCGACAACATGTACCTGTCCACCATCCTCAGCTACATCACCATCTGGTTTCCCATCTACCATGGCGTCTACGACAACCTCTCCGCCGTCGACCTCTCGTCTTTCATTAGCAAGGTGGGGGGACGCTTTTTCTGTGACCATGCGTTTCATAGGTGGGTAATTCACAACATAATGTAATTTAGTCGCTTCCTTCTTACTGCTCGGTTTCGGATTTATTTTAGGATTTTCAAAATCAAACCAAGAGAATTATTTGTTAAAGTTCAACCATGCTAATGGTTAAGTAACCTCATCCGTTCCATACTACCCGTGAAGATTCTGGTCTTCAGCAACCCAAGCTTGTAAAATGCAACTCACGGGATCAGGTGTTCAGGCTCGCCGACTTGGTTGACACATGTCATTGTATTATAGTTGCGTAGGTCGATGCTCATAATGTTGATCACTGGATGATCTGGTCCAGACTGGATTATTTACAGGCTGCCGCTATGTAGCTGGAATATTGCTGAGTGCGGCGTTAAACAACAAAGAACAAAACAAACAGATTGTTATCATACCTGTTATCATCTCTTGCATATTGAGGGGCGGTGGGGTAGCCTAGTGGTTAAAGCGTTGGCTCGTCACGCCGAAGACCCGGGTTCGAATCCCCACATGCGTACAATGTGTGAAGCCCATTTCTGGTGTTCCCCGCCGTGATGTTGCTGGAATATTGCTAAAAGCGGCGTAAAACCAAACTCAGTCAGTCAGTCTTGCATACTGAGATCCAAACATAAAGACATTGAGTGACAAAGATTCACTTTAAGACCGTATGACAAAGGAGTTGATATAAACTTTTCAATAGCCAACTTACTCGAGCAATATTCCAGCACCTCCAGTATTTGGTAGAACTTTCAGTAATTTTTTTAAACATTACGTTTGATGCACTTTACATGAAGAAGTCAAAGATCCTCAATTTGCCTTAGCAAACCTTTCAAAAAATGCCGTCAAATTTGACATCGTGACAAACATGATGTCCGATGCAATTCAATATTTTGATTTGTACCACGTGTCCTCTTGTTTTGTCTGGGCAGTGGGGTAGCCTTGTGGTTAAAGCGTTAGCTCGTCATGCCGAACACCCGGTTTCGGTTCCCACATGGGTACAATACGTGAAGCCCATTTCTGATGTACCCCGCCGTGATATTGCTGGAATATAGCTAAAAGCGGCGTAAAACCATACTCACTCACTCACTTGTTTTGTCTGGTGACCATTTACCTTGCCTTTGCATGTGTTTGTGACGAGTTCCACCTGTGGGACAGAATACCCTTTTGCGAGTATCTTGTGATTATTTGAAAGTGATTCATACACACATGGACATGATCAGAATGGTACAATGGCCATGTCTTATGATGAATAAAATCGGATTTTGAATACTTTATAAACACATGCTTATACCTTATTCGCAATCGCATTATGAAATCTTTTAGCAGAGATTTGTTGCGAGTATGTAAATTGATTTGTCGCTTATATTTCATTTTGTGGTAGTATGAAAAGTCATGTGGTGAGGGCCCCATTAATCTCAAGTTGGACTTGCGATGTTGCACTCATGTATTGGTACATGTGGACCCATGTTCACACCGAACATCTTGTAATGGGCATTTTACCCCAGTATATCACTCGGTGCGTCATATCATCACAAGTAGAAAACGTCAGAACGACCGACGGGACAGAATTTTATAGAGATGTAAAAATTAATTTCACTGGTAACGTCTGGAGGCTAATGAATGTCAGCGTTGACCTTATTCCGTGTATTCTTCCGCTATTTTCACTCAGATGAATGCGAAGATGTTCAGCCAGGTACAGTCACTCACTCTGAACATTTCCACAGTAACAACCCTTAGAAAATATGCAAGCCACAACGATATATTGTGCAAACAGGAAATCGAATATATAATGTAAGTACATGTGTACACAACTGTACAGAATACATACAGTGTACAGGTGTAAACATGCATATGCATGTGAATAAACTGTGTGGAGTACATCGATGTCAAAAACGTTTATAGTTGCCATGACTTTTCTTAAAGAGCACAATGATCAAGTACAGCTTTGAGAGGCATTAAGAAGTTAGAGTAGGAAGGAAGGATAACAATATACAGGTTCTAACACTGTTATCAAACAAGTGATGATCCATATATTATTATCGTTCCTAAAGTACTACATTTTTAACGGATCTCTTCCGTATAGAGCATCTCTGGAATTAAATAGAAAGACGTCTATGCTGTGCACAAATCCCCAGAAAACGTTCGTGACTTAGCAGCGGTGGAACAGGGATTATGGCAAACCATTCCACAATTTTTATGCATCGTCGATGCACTGCTGTTCCCGATGCTCACGCCGTTATTGAGTTTGTGACCCCCAGCCCGCATTGTCAATGTTAGGGACATTAAACGTGCTATTCTGCCGTCTTCTTGTGTCCTCAATATTCACCTATAAACATCTATAGAAATTTAACACTGCACAGTATCATGCTTACGAACGTCCAACAGAGAAATCGTTTATGGTGTACAGTCCATACGTAAAGATCTTTCAGGTTATCTCACCCGAGACAATCTCTTTAATAAAGTGTTTATCCATTACATTTACATGTAATAATCTTGGTTGATCTGCAATGTGTAGTCTCATGAATATGCATGGTTAATTTTTTGTCGCAGTTGTTTTGTTTAGCTGAGACACAAGAAATGGCTAACAAATGTTTTCTTTGGAGAATCGTTTATTACCTTATTAGTATTACTATAGTGACAACCTTTGCTATTCTGAGTTTATGTAATTCTTATTTTGGACAAGCTTGTTTCCGTATTTCTAGAATTCCTTTGTCGTTGGTTACTTGGTCAGCAGCTTCCAGAGCCTTGTTGACATCTCGTCCAAGATGGCGGATCTCGCGGGAGTCACACACAGGTACGACTCTGAATATCAAACGTAAGATTACGCATAGGCGGTGGGTTACCTAGTGGTTGAAACTTTCGCTCGTCGCGCCAAAAGCCCGAGCCTTATCCCCGTTAAAACATCCTCACTCATTCTACAATGAGATACACTTTACATAGCAATAGCACCAGATAAAGTACGGTAAGGTGAGGTGAGGTGAGGTGAGGTGAGGTGAGGTAAGGTGAAATTGGGTTTAGCGTCGTGCTTGAGAATATTTCGCTCATAAGACGACGTGCATGTGTGTGTATGTGTATGTGTGGCTGCTTGTACTAGCCCAGACTTAAGCTGGTTTTATTGTGCTAGCCCACTGAGATACCATGCCGCAGTGAAACATGAATACACCACTCAGACACATTATACTGACTCCGAGCCGACCAGTCCTTGTTGTACCCATTAATGCCGAGCGCCAGGCAGGGACCAACAAGTACCATATTTTAACGTCTTTTGGTATGACGCGGTCGGGGATCGAACCCGCGACCTTCCGCTCTCCGGGCGGACGCTCTAACCACTACACCACGGAGGCGGTCAGTACGGTAGGGAGTTTAGTAAGTGATTCTACATCTTTGTCATCAGACATATCTCAGTTATGTTTAAACCAAGGGCGTAGAAACGGATATTAATGAATTGTTATAAAAATGTGATATGCAATATAAAGTTACAAGACTTCATGCATTGAAACTGTTGAATTTGGGTTGCCAACAGATTCTTTTACAAACACAACTGCACAAATTCAAAGTTATACAAAAGATTAAAGAAATATTTTTTGTCGTTGAATCTGAAGCAGGGTTGCACATCATTGCACATGTAATTTGCAAACGTATTATCAAGCTTTAACATAACATAAGATAAGATAAACGGTTTTGATATAATAACAATTTATGCAAGTCAATAACTTGATATGGAAGAAGGTGGCTGCAGATGCAAATGTAAGGACAAAGTATGTTGCTTAAACACATCATAGCCAAGATAATAGATAGTTGGCAGTCATCGAACCGGTCGTAAGTGACACCAAAACGTACATAACGGTGGGATATCTGTGGTGTAAACCTGGCGTGTTTTGCAGTTTTAAAAAGTTTCATTCAAGGTCAGCGTTAGTGCATATTCGGCTGACACTTTCAGGTCAGGATATTTTGGGATGAAAACCATTTTTAATGAATTTTTAACTGAACAAGTTCTGAAAAGAATCATTGTTACCTATGCTCGCAAAACGATTTGCAGTACATGAACTCGTGCTGATCATATATGCACACAAGATATATATCGAGTTCGAGTTACTATAGGTTGGGAAGTTTTGGACAGGGGATCAGATGATATGTTGATGCATCATTAATCATTTCTAACTTCAAGATTCCCATCAATTATACTGTTTTTGTTATTTGTGAGGATACGTCTCGTGAAATTACCTTATTTTTCTACTTTAAAGTTTGTTTTTCTGACATGTAATGTTAATCAGCTGTCATGTCTGCATGGTTTTGTAAAAGAGTGGGGCAAAAACACATCACGCCCTCAACAGCACCACTTCTCGTAACGACCTACATGAACCTACTGCACCACGTATGGATATCATTACTGAGCCAATGTGGATAGCATCGTCCACACCAAAGGTCAGCACTGAATAGTGCCTTAAAATTATATTGAGATGTTATGATGACTGTAATTTGATGAGGCAAATGTATCAGTAAAGTATATAGTGTATTTGACCTATGTGTAAATTGTTTACATCCAATTTTCCTTTTTACGCATATATCTTCCAATATTTGATAGAGACTGATCAGTCCCTGGAGTATACGCCCAAGCTCGAAACACGCTTCATCATACGCTGAAGTATAAAACACGCTTTATTATATGCTGAAATATGAAACATACTTAATCGTAAGCTTAAGTATGAACATGCTTTAACATACGCTGAAGTACGAAACACACTTTATCATATGCTGAAGTACGAAACACACTTTATCATATGCTGAAGTATGAAACATGCAAAGTTAAATATGCAGTATAACACACAAGTTTTCATAAACAATTTGGTATGACAGTCCTTACTAGGGCGCCTTATCTTATACTTGTCTCCTTCATCAGAATTGGGCAACTTACGGAAAAGCTCCAGTCCATCGAAGACCTTGACCCTGACCAGATGAAGGATATGCCTGCCGCTTCAGAGAGGTACCAGAATCTGCGTATCCCATAACAAATCCTGAAATAATGGAATCATGTGGAATTATATATTTCTGCTTCAAAATGCATTTGTAGGTGGGAGTACAAGAACAAACAAACGCTAACGCGGACGGAATGTACAAATACATTCTGGTATTTCATAGAAGGTTCTTATCATATTTATGATGCTTTATTTTTTATGTGATTCTGGTCTAGGGTCAACTGCACAGGTCCGCCACCACCTTAATAGGTAGATACAGGGACGGCGTTTGGCACTGTCAGCCTGGTCAGCTAATGGAGCATATAGCATATAATATATCCTTAGGCAAGTAACTTGGATCCAAAAGGGTCTCTGTTCGCCCAGTAGTGAAAGGGTACCCGATGGGATGAGAAGGTAATGTGTCCGTTCACCTTCTACCGCCTCACAGACAGCTTGGGTTGTAAACGCCCAATGGACACAAAACTGACAAACTGATCCGATGACAATGACAAATGATTTTGGACTTTGAGCGTGCATGAGTATTAGTGCTATATAAGAGTGCACAACATGCTTGTTGTTGTTATAAATATTAGTATCAAACAAAGAGTTCTCTCTTTTGTTATCAAAGCGTAAACCTACATGTGTGTAGTGCTCAGTAATATATACCGACATGAAACTGTATACTGACACTGAAACGATACCACACGTCTATTGTACTTATGTAATAATATCCTGAAAATGTGTATGAAGTGCATGTCTTATATGTTTCAGATCGGAGAGTATCGAACTAACTGACTACACTAGGTAAGTCACACATTAGCAGAAAAGGGCATTCAAAGACATTACACAAAGAACGTTAACTTGCCCAACCCTGGTTAATCATGAAAAGGTCACCAGTGTATACTGCCAGGCGAAAGAGTGAGTGAGTATGACTTTACGCCTCTTTTAGCAATATTCCAGCAATATCACGACGGGGGGACACCAGAAATGGGCTTCACAACCAGGCGAACTAAGTATACACCCACATCTGAGGATGGCTTGAAATTAACCAAACTAGGAGTTGTTATTCCATGGAGATGGGCACCATATTTTGAACTTTAAGTTTGTAGTGTTACGGTAGCTGTTTTCAGCCTAGTGGTGTTCTGATAACGATTGTAATTGTTTTGTCATATCCAGTTTATGCCTACTATATTTTGAACTGAAGTTTATGCAAAGTAGTACACGTTCTGTCGTATATGACGATCATATGACACCGGACTCAAATCTTCGAGTGCACACCTCAATGCATATTGTAATGCTGCATTTAACACCATTCATACGATCTGAAAAAAAATTACTTATCCTACGTCGAACATAGATCAGACTTACGACAGTTATCTGAAGACATGTGTCAGACTTTGATGCCATGAAATACAGCATGCTTATACATGAACCTTTTGTACATGCTCATTATGTCATCTTTTATCTTGCATCATGTTTTGGTGCAGCGGCGTTCATAACATCATAAACCCACGTTAGATATGTTAACAGTGCTTTTATGCAAACGCCACTGGCAGGTGCGAGGCGGTGCCAGGCCATGTATGCTCTTAGGAAGGGGTGAAGATAGTCCGAAATGGGGAGAGATGTCAGTTTTTTTAGATGCTGAATGACAGAGTTGAAGTTTTGGGTGCAATAGTGCGTACATCCACGCTTTGTAAACATTTGTACTCGAAATTGCATACCGCGTATGTATACTCGTGTGATAATTTGAGTGAGTCTGTCCCACTCTTCTTGCAGCGCCTGTCCAAGTTAGGTCAGCGACGTTAACGTTATCCTATTATGTCCCCGACTTTTCATTTGGGGAAAGGTCTGGGCTCATTGTTGACCATGATATTCTTTGGTTGTTGTTCTGTTGGTGTTGAACGTTGATGATTCATGCATCACCTTACCTTTGACACGAGCCTTTGACACGAGACAGCTAACGGTGTCGACATGACAGAACTGTCCAGTGACGTGTCTAAAAGTCTATTGTTCTCTGGAGGAATCTACACAATCTAATGGCTATCTGTAACGTTAATAAAACATCAGTTATACATCTATTTCATTGCATCAGGGCTAGTGACCTCTTCAACTGTTATTTACTGTAACAACTTTTGGTGATTATTTTGTTTTCATACACAGTTTATGAAGCTTCGATATATGATGGTTTATTAAGTACATTAATACATTTAGTTAATGTCTAACCTCAGTAGTTGTGTGTGATAATTCTGATTAGATAGTTTGGTGAATCAAAGCAACTCTGGGTACAGATTTACCCTGAGCAAAAACTCCGGAATATGTTCATGTTTTTCTTGTTATCTTTAATCGTTAGATATCTGAAATAGGCTAGTCTGGATAGGTTGTATTCAACATCCGAAATCAACGTTAGGAATAAGACTTTCGTAGAATGGCATTTTTAAATATACTAAACTGCCGAATTCGAGGAAAGTCATGTTGTCCAGGGCCCCGTTCCTCAAGGCGATCGTAGCGCTAAGATGATCGCAACTCCTATACTTTAACATAGACTTACGACTGTCGTAGCGCTACGATCGCCTTGAGGAACGGGGCCCAGATGTCTGAACTTTCAAGTAACTTGACTGTCATACCCCTGCTGGATTCTGAAAGTGAAAACATATTGAATAATATGAGAAAAGTCATGCTAAAGTATCCTCAAGTGTTATGTTGGCGCAATGCTTAAGATGAAAGTTGTTTAGTTACATATGAATATATATTGTTTTGAAAGTCGTAGCTATTTTGATTGTTTAAATATATTAATCGCCTCTTAGTAAAAGACAATAATTCGGATAGCCAAACAGATCGTCAGGAAACATTGGAATCATAATGCATCAAGCTTCTATTCATGCAACTCAAGTCTTTCAGAGATGATATTTGTAAGGTCAAAACGACGATAATAATATTTTGCAATATAACATAACTATCGTAAGTATCCGAGAGGGGCGGTGGGGTAACCTCGTGGTTAAAGCGTTCGCTCGTCACGCAGAAGACTCGGGTTCGATTCCCCACATGGCTACAATGTGTGAAGCCCATTTCTGGTGTCCCCCGCCATGATATTGCTGGAATATTGCTGAAAGTGGCGTAAATCCATACTCACTCACGTAAGTACGCGAGATTATTTTTGTCAAAATACCCCAATCCTTACGCGCTTTCTGATTGCCTTGTATTTTCACACATAACATTCATCATCAGGCGGCAAGTCTTCCTGAAGCCTACGGAAAAGGGCTAGTGGTAACTGATGGGGTGTTAATTGATTGTTCAGGCAGAGGATGCTTGTTTATATGTTATTGCCCATCTTGTTGCCAAACTTGAATTGGATGTGTGCTTTCAAAAAGCGGTGAAGTTGTGTTAGAGAGCGATTATTTAGAACCGGTTATGCCGCAAGAATTATTCAAGTCTAACATAGAACCCACATTTATTGCAAGTCAGTGGTTTCTATGATCCTGGACAATTCATTTAAGTCTATCGCAGACATTGCCAGACAACATAATTGATGTCTATTATCTATATCTTACTGACTGGGGATCGATACCAATACTGAGGATCCATACCAATACCGAGGATCCATACCAATACCTAGGATCCATACCAATACCGAGATCCATACCAGTACCCAGGATCCATACCAATACCCATTATCCATACCGAGGATCCATGCCAATGCCCATTATCCATACCGAGGATCCATACCAATACCGAGGATCCATACCAATACCGAGATCCATACCAGTACCCAGGATCCATACCAATACCCATTATCCATACCGAGGATCCATGCCAATGCCCATTATCCATACCGAGGATCCATACCAATACCGAGGATCCATACCAATACCGAGGATCCATACCGATACCGAAAATCCATACCGAGGATTCATACCAATACTGAGGATCCATACCGAGGATCCATACCAATACCGAGGATCAATACCGATGATCCATACAATACCGAGGATCCACACCAATACTGAAGATCCATACCAATACCGAGGATCCTTACAATACCGAGGATCCATACCAATACCCAGGATCCATATCAATACCGAGGATCCACACAAATACTGAGGACCCATACCAATACCGAGGATCCACACCAATACTGAGGATCCATATCAATACCGAGGATCCATATCAATACTGAGGATCCATACCAGTATCACCAATACCATTACTTCAAATCGTACGCAACAATAAGTGGTGCAGTTGTCCCCAATTTGTTTGTCTTCTTGGACAATATAATATGTTCCAAACAAATACTCACCATTTACGTTTGTATTGCATAGACTTACGTTGGTATAACAAGGTTCGCTGCTCTGAACGTTTTGCGTAATTTCAGTTTGTTACAAGGTAATCCCACTGCCAAACCAGTGGGATTACCCACGATACACGATAGTCGTAAGTGCCATACATTGACATTAAGATACGACTATCTTAGCGCTAAGAGAGCTTCGAAAATCTAGGCCTTGTCTGAGAACATAGCTTTGGTGTTGTCGGGGTGATAGCGCATACTATTTAAGCAAACAAGGAAATGAATGAAAAACATGTATTACGCAGGCAGACGGAGAGGGGGACAACAAGCTTTGCAGTGTCAAGATGTGACGTATGCACCTCCTACCAACGGTGTCATGCTGTGTAAAAGTAAGAGCACGTTATCATAGCATTTCATCATATTCTCCTAAGCATATTCTCACATGTGGTATCGATATGCAAACAATAATACACGATTTCTGATGCAGGGATGTCCATCAGTCTATCAGGGTGAGACGTACTGGGGTAGCTGCTATACTTCGGGTGGCTGAATGTGGTGTGGAGTGGTAAACCGTGGTGTGGTGGTGCTGGGAATGGCGTGGCGTGGTGTGGCGTGGTGGTGCTGGGAGCGGCGTGGCGTGGAGTGGTAAACCGTGGTGTGGCGGTGCTGGGCGTGGCGTGGAGCGGTAAACCGTGGTGTGGCGGTGCTGGTCATGGCGAGGCGTTGTAAACCGTGGTGTGACGGTGCTGGGCGTGGCGTAGCGTGGCGTGGAGCGGTAAACCGTGGTGTGGCGGTGCTGGGCGTGGCGTGGCGTGGTAAACCGTGGTGTGGCAGTGCTGGGCGTGGCCTGGCGTGGCGTGGCGTGGAGTGGTAAACCGTGGTGTGGCGGTGCTGGTCATGGCGAGGCGTGGTAAACCGTGGTGTGGCGGTGCTGGGCGTGGCGTGGAGCGGTAAACCGTGGTGTGGCGGTGCTGGTCATGGCGAGGCGTGGTAAACCGTGGTGTGGCGGTGCTGGGCGTGGCGTGGCATGGCGTGGCGTGGTGGTGCTGGGAGCGGCGTGGCGCGGCGTGGTGGTGCTGAACGTGTCATGGCGTGGAGCGGAAAACCGTAGTGTGGTGGTGCATGGCGTGGCGTGGCGTGGCGTGGCGTGGTAAACCGTGGTGTGATGGTGCTGGGCGTTGTGTGGTTATGTGTGGCGTGGTAAACGGTGGTGTGGCGGTGCTGGGGGTGGCGTGGGGCGGTAAACCGTGGTGTGGCGGTGCTGGTCATGGCGAGGCGTGGTAAACCGTGGTGTGGCGGTGCTGGGCGTGGCGTGGCATGGCATGGCGTGGCGTGGTGGTGCTGGGAGCGGCGTGGCGCGGCGTGGTGGTGCTGAACGTGTCATGGCGTGGAGCGGAAAACCGTAGTGTGGTGGTGCGTGGCGTGGCGTGGCGTGGCGTGGCGTGGCGTGGCGTGGCGTGGCGTGGCGTGGCGTGACGTGGCGTGGCGTGGCGTGGTAAACCATGGTGTGATGGTGCTGGGCGTAGTGTGGTGTGGTGTGGAGTGGTAAACTGCGGCGTGATGGTGCAAGGCGCGGCGCGGCGTGGAGTGACGGGGTGCAGTAAACCGTGGTGTGGCGGTGCTGGACGTGGCGTGGTGGGGACACGGAAAAAGTGGTGTGGTGGGGCTGGGTGTGGCGTGGAGTGGGAAACCGTTGTGAAGCAGTGTTTATTGGGGCATTGTATGGTGGGCTGGTGGTTGCTAGGCTTGGCGTGGTGTGGACATAGAAAACATGGATTGGTATAAGGTTTGATAATGGTTGCCATGTTATAGCCCACATTCCCCGTACACAAGATCATATCCCGATTAATATTTGATATCTCTTCTACTGCTCTCTTTAGCGTCAGTATCATACATACATAATCATTAATGTATTCGTGGTGTCTTACAGATATAAGCTTCCAGTTAGAAAGTGGAGTGAACATCCTCATCACCGGCAGGAGCGGATGTGGGAAGAGCTCCCTCCTGCGAGTCATGAATGGCTTGTGGACACACACTACAGGTAGGTGACCCACAGTGTACAGGTCGGTTCAATCAACGTGTGTAAACACGTTCCCACAGACTTTAACGGTGCCAAAGCAGATCGGTCAGTTGAAACAATCATATATCGTTAATCAGCAGAATTGAGATCAACTTTATGAACTGGTTCCCTTTGACGGCTGAAAAGACGACCACCTTGCCTGTGGGGCCGCAGCTGAAATAGGATGCAATGCTTTCCATTTTTCGAGACTTCGCGAATGACAGTGTTGCATCATCAAACTACAGGTTGTCCTCTAGGGGTGAAACTCTAATTACAGTCGACTCACTGACTGAGTTTGGTTTTACGCCGCTTTTAGCAATATTCCAGCAATATCACGGCAGGGGGACACCAGAAATTACAGTCGAACCCCAATGTCTCGAACTCGGTTGAGACGAATTATCGGTTGTGTCGAAGTCATCTCTCAGTTCATGCCGATTTGCTTATATTTATCATTATTTCTATGCTGACAGATGTGTCGAACACTCTGATAAGTCGAACTGTTCCTCTGGTCCCTACGAGTTCGACACAACGGGGTTTAACAGTATATGTCCTTCGAACAAGAATGCCATTCCTTCACTCGGGGTCAGTGTGAAAACAAATATTCATTGTCGGTGGTTGCTTGTTTAATGTCTTTTCCAAATTGTCCATAGCCGTACGACTGTCGTGCTGAAATCGTGATGGTAAATGGCCTCAGCTTTCCTGTGAGAGATGCTGATGTGGGGATGATGTTGAGATACACATTTCAGTGTTTGCACTTGCATGTGATACAGTTTTCGTGATAGTCTGTCGTGCAGACCCTGAAACAAATATACCCAATGTAGCCCACGCAAGTCTAGAATGTGTGGCGGCTCTATATTTCCACAGTTTCAGTCTCTGGGCTCCTTTTTATTTTATTTTATTTTAATTTTAAAACTATTTTTCTGTAAAACATGTTCATTTCAGACACAAGCTGTTAATCTATTTTCGTGAGTAACTGTTGTTTTTTAAGTCGATGCTTCCTATTCATGCAGGTCACGTGGAGCGGTATCTCAAGGACGGGCGACATGGCATTTTTTATCTTCCCCAGCGTCCCTACTTCACGAGCGGTTCTATCAGAGACCAGGTGACATATTGCACGTCGGAGATCTGTGATTATGTAACGATAAACACATTAAACAGTAAGAGAGACACATTACAGGCTGATTTAGTGTGGAGCACCAAGCATCACCTCACTAATGTTATCCCATTCCTCGTGTTTACAAGCGATTTATTACTCTAGACAGAAAAATAGTGCAAGATAAGGGATTAACACTTCAACTGCACACTAATTCATGTTAAACATTTTGTTGTATGAATGCATGTGGATCATTTTAAGATTAAATACTGTCAACAAAATACATCATAGATGCAAATGTGCGTACTAGCACGAACCGCATGGCAAGTTCAGTGAATAAATGAAGGAGGAAAGAAGGAGGAAAGAAAGTAAATAAATAAATAAATAAATAAATAAATAAATAAATAAATAAATAAATAAATAAATAAATAAATAAATAAATAAATAAATAAATAAATAAATAAATAAATAAATAAATAAATAAATAAATAACAAACGAACGAATTTAATCCGACATTTACTTAGCCATGCTTTATACTGCACTAAAGATATCAGACTGGACACGACCACGTGGAAGGCACACGGAGAAGAGAATCGTCTCAGCCTCTTTTCCATGCATATTTATGTGTAATTCGCGTCCGAACGTGTTTGCATTTGCGTTTGACATGTACACTGCACGCAGACAAAGCACGGAAAGTGATGTGCAGTAAAAAAGTGTCTTCCTTTCATATGAGGAACCCATGAAGATCCGGGTTAGAATTGGTCTTGCTTGTAATAAGAGGCGACTAACGGGATCGGGTGGTCAGGCTCGCTGATTTGGTTGACACATGTCACCGTATTCCAATTGCGTAGATCGATGCTCATGCTGTTGATCACTGGATTGTCTTGTCCAGATTGGACTATTTACAGACCGCCGCCATATGGCTGAAATATTGCTGAGTGCGGCGTAAAACTGGACTCACTCACTCACTCATTTCACATGAGGGATGATACAACCACAGGGGCGTGTCACGCTTAGAAACAGCGTTAGAAAGACATATAGCTATATAAACCTTACCCTAGAACTATAGCCTGTGGATACAACGGCATAGTTAAGAGTGATGAATAAACAATGTGTTTAGTTCTGTAGTTATGTATAAGCGGGACCTCTATTTCGTAAGTTGGGATTTACATATAATGTTCTGTTTTATGTTTTGGAGTGAGTGAGTGAGTGAATGAGTGAGTGAGTGAGTTTAGTTTTACGCCGCTTTTAGCAATATTCCCGCAATATCACGACGGGGGACACCAGAAATGGACTTCACACATTGTACCTATGTGCGGAATCGAACCCGGGTCTTCGGCGTGACGAGCGAACGCTTTAACCACTAGGCTACCACCCCGCCCCTTATGTTTTGGAGTCAGATATATTTATATCAGAATTCAAATTACTGTATTTGATAGTATCACATTTGGCACCTAAAAGTATCATATATATCAGTGCGTTTATCTAACGCAAGGGTAGTGAGTAGTGAGTGAGGTTTAATCTTTAGCTTGTGAGTGAGGCTTTTCCGCTTTTAACAATATTTCCAACAATATCATGGAGGGGGGATACCAAAACAGCTTCACACATTGTATACATGTGTGGAATCGAAACCTGGTCTTCGGTGTGACGCGCGAACGTTTTAACCACTAGGTTATCTTACGACTCCAGCAAGGAAGTCGGCAACAAGATCAGGGCCCCGTTTCACAAAGTTTACTTTAACATAGACTTACGACAGTCGTAGCGCTACGGTCAATTGTGAAACGGGCCCCAGAGCATCGTGTAACCCTTAGCGTTAATTGCATTAGCAACCAAACAACTGAATCAGTGTTTACCGATTTATCACTCCATATAGATTTATTATTACATAGAAAAGAAGTGCAGCTTGCGCCTTTGGAAGAGAGTGATTGTGAATTACATGAATATGTTATAACAGTCAGTGAGTGAGTGAGTGTGGTTTTACACCACTTTTAGCAATATTCCATCAAAATAAAGTCACGGAGAGGACACCAGAAACGGACTTCACATATTGTACCAATGTGGGGAATCGAACCAGGGTCCCGTTCCTCAAAGCGATCGTAGCGCTACGACTATCGTAAGTCTATGTTAAAGTATGGGAGTTACGATCACCCTAGCGCTACGATCGCTTTCAGGAACGGGGCCCTGGATCTTCATCTACATTTTAGGGGGTAAATTATCTTGTTTACAGGCTTGTATAAACCTGAAATCGTGACAATTGTTGTGGAAAATGAAAGCTATATGTTCTCACAATCTACTGTCATTTAATTTTGTCTCCTGCTTTGCCTAGTTTCCGAGTTACAACTTGTTTTCATAGACGCTTCTGTCACAATTGATTGGTGTCGTTAGGCCCTATTTGTATAATGACTGATCCAAATTGATCCCATTTCTGTGTTTTTTTTACCTCGATATTTAATCATGTCATGTAAAAATCTGTTTGTATTCTCAAAACAGTGTCGGCCCATAAGTTTTCACATGCAATACAGCAATTAATACTCCCTTGTTGTAACCCGTGTTAGGTGGTATAAACCTACACATGTTATTTGTCATCATTCACTTGATGGTCAGTTAATGAATTTATAACAGGTATAATTAGTGGTAACACACTTAGATTACCCGACAAAGGTTCCCATTTGGCATTTCTTGTGTCTGGAGTTAATATTCAACATTATAAACATCGATCAAAGGATTAGCCGATAACACGCTGATTGATTAATTACTTTTATCTTACACACAGCGGAATTGTCAAAAAGGTAGTGTTTATGTATGTAGATTTACTAATCTATACTGAATACACTCTGCCGTGTCGGTGTCTGCGTAAAAACAACGTCCTTCTTTCAAAGGATTAACCGGCAATACATTGATTGATTGCCCATTATTGGCTAACTAAATTACTGTTTTTAATGAAAGGCGGACATTATGCAATTAGTTGCTTGGTGTGCTATCTTGGGTGACCAATGAGACTATACACCAATACCTGAAAAGATTGATCACTTTTTCGTATATTAAACTGTTAAAAGACACATCATTTGGAACAGTTTTGTGGATATTGATGGATACATTCCTCAAACAAGGTAATGGCCTGATATTGTTCCTATAACTTTAATCTGTTTTAATTTTAATATTTGCATTTTGTTTTTTTAATCATTTGTCGTAGCATTCAACATACACTAGGGTGTGTGTGCGAATTATGATTCACATTGGCAAACTATCAAATGTCTAGATATTACAGTTCTGTTATAAATTCACTATAAGTATCAGCAGATCGTCAGCTTTTTATTTAGTTTCAAAATGCATAAAAGTATGATAATAAACTAATTAGGATTATAAGACCAAATATAAAGACGCACATTGACTAGTATCTACATACTGGTGAGTGGACATTAACCATGTGAATGTAGCAAGAAATTTATCGCGCAGTATTGTGACTTCGACCCTCACCTCGCTTCCGTGGAAGAAATCGTTATGTTATAAGTTGTGTCATGCAAAACCCTTTTGGTTATGATTCCAATACATATTTAACTACGAGTAGAAAGTAGTTTTGATTTTCTAACTTGATGAAAACAAACTATAATCTCATTAATTCTAACAGACTTTACGATTTTCAAAAATGGCGGCGCCCTGTCGGGAACATCCGCCAGTCTGTGGATAAATGCTATTTAGGTTTGTTTTCACCGAGTTACAAAATCAAAACTACTTTCTACTGGTAGTAAAATATGTATTTTATTGATGGCCAATAGGATTTTGCATGACATAGCGTATAACATGACAATTTCTCTCGTGGCAGCGAGGTGGGTGTCAATATAATACTACTTACAATATTATTGTTACTTCGACCACAACCTCACTTCCGAGGAAGAAATCGTTATGTTACAAGTTGTGTTATGGAAAATCTTTATGGTCATCAATCATATACATATTTTACTATAACTAGTAAGTAGTTTTGATTCTTTAACTTCCGTGAAGCGATCTGAACACAAGTAAGATATCGTTTCAGGCTTCAACGCTCGCTTCGCACTCACAAACATAACCCATTTAGCACGAACTGCGGGATCCTGTGGAAATCTGTGCATGGTGACACCATCACCCGACCCCTAGGAGCAATTGACAACAAAGCAACGATTCGGCATGTCGTCGTTCATGTCGAGAAATCATCAAAATGATGAGCGTGCTACACACTTTCTATACAACTAACTGAAAATCGTTCCTCATATGACGTCACTGCAGTGCTCTGGCGACAGAGTTACGTAACCTGTCTGTGGTTTCGTTGGCGGGCGAGAGGGAAGCAGGCGACTTTTTGGCCACTTTTAATCGCTCGGTATTAATTAACCACAAGTTTTTAAAGAATAAATTTGGTGTTCCGCATAAGACTAACCACAAATCTTTCATATGTAATGGTTAAAAGAGTAACAAAAAACAAAGTTTAGTGGTTCTTTAACCTTTAGGCTACCCCACCGGCCCTGTAACAACAGAAACCTGACAAGTCATTAAATTTGTACACGATGTAAGCCTATATTCCTGGTCAATAAGACTAGTGTGAGAAGTTAAAGAAATATAAGAAGCCACTGAAACAACAGATGACGTCACTGTCGGTTCCTATTTTCAGATAGTTCATCCGTCAACTGAAGATGAGGGATTTGTAGGTATGAAAATACAAGTGCTCTTGGTTTCGATGAGAGTGAGTTAGTGAGTTTGGTTTTACGCCGCTTTTAGCAATATTCCGGCAACGTCACGGCGGGGGACACCAGAAATGGGCTTCACACATTGAACCCATGTGGGGAATCGAACCCGGGTCTTCAGTATGACGAGCCAACGCTTTAACTACTATGCTACCCCATCGCCCTTCGATAATATGATCGACTTTGTCAACGATTTGGTCCATGTTATAAATACTGTATACGAAATATTCAA